CATAGCTGATCATCTGACACCCTTTAAATGAACAAAATTAAGGATATTTAAAGCATGCATTAATCATTGATTTGCAGTTAGTTTTATCCTATCAGGGAGTAATCCCCCTATTCTTTCTTTTTTTTTTTTTTGTTATCATTAATCTACAATTACATGAAGAACATTATGTTTACTAGGCTCTCCCCTATACCGGGTCCCCCTCCCACAAACCCCCTTACAGTCACTGTCCATCAGCATAGCAAAATGTTGTATAATCACTACTTGTCTTCTCTGTGTTGTACAGTAGATTTTTTTTTAATCTATTTTTATGTAATCATTGTTTGCTTGGTTTTGCTTTAAAGAGTGAACCAAAAGGAAATCCATAAGTGTTAACATATTTGTTGACATGAATTTATGAAGAAGGTAGATTATAAAACAGCCCTTTAAAAAAAAATGTATATATATAAACAGAGAAAAAAGTTAATTATAGATTGTGGGTATCCATGAAATCAATTGGAGAGCTCGTAAATGTCCAGCTGCCCAGATATACCTCTTGCTGAGTCAAAATCTCTTGGGGATGGTACCAGACATCAGTAGTTTTTTTTTTTTTATATAGGTAACATTTTTATTTTTATTTTTTTATCGACATATCATTGATATACCATCTCATATGGTTGCAAGTATATAACAGTGGTGTAACAGTTACCTATATTATTAGGCATCAGTTGTTTTTAAAGCTTTCCAGGTGCTTTCAGTATGCAGACTAGATTGAGAACCACTGCTTAAAAGGTAGAATGATAGAGCTTTTTATTTATTGTCTGTATTTTGAAATTCTATTATGAGCATTTATTAAGTGATTTTTTAAAAATGTAAACTTCAAGACATCAAAAAAATGGAATTTCTTGTTATTGGTTTATGAAAGTTATCGTAATTTATTCATAAATCAGGATTATTTTCCCTTGTTATGATTGATTAGATATTAATGTATTTTACAGTTATATTCTAAATATATTTATTTATATGTATATTACAAATATATATAACTAAGAAGTTATGTATATACACCTTTAGAGAGACTTTCATGTCCTTTAAAAGAAATTGGTACTAGAACTTTAAAATGATTAAAGATACTTTTTATATTTTAAACATTTGTAATTAAAAATAACCAGACCAGCCAACTTACCTTTTTTATAATTTTTTCCCCTCGATTAGGAGCTCCAGCGGGCTAAGCAAGAAGTCCTCTCTTTGCGAAGAGAGAATTCTACACTAGATGCTGAATGCCATGAAAAGGAAAAGCTTATTAATCAGCTACAAACAAAAGTGGCTGTTTTAGAACAGGAAATCAAGGATAAGGACCAGCTTGTTTTAAGAACAAAAGAAGCATTTGATACAATTCAAGAACAAAAGGTCTATTTAAACATTTTCTAAACAAATTGATGTTCACATTTACAAGTGATACTGTCCCTAAATAACACAAACATCCTAATTATTCACATTTTTAATATTTAAAAACATATATTAGGTGGCTTTAGAAGAAAATGGTGAGAAAAATCAGGTTCAACTAGGAAAACTTGAAGCTACAATAAAATCATTGTCAGCAGAACTTCTCAAGGTTTGTTTTTAAAAACAATAGAATATTAATATTTCATTGAATTATGTAGAGATACACATATGAGGCTCTTTTACAGGCAAATGAAATTATCAAGAAGTTACAAGGGAATCTGAAAACTTTAATGAGTAAATTGAAACTGAAGAATACAGTAACAATTCAGCAAGAGAAACTCTTGGCTGAGAAGGAAGAAAAATTACAAAAGGAACAAAAGGAATTACAAGATGTTGGACAGTCTCTCCGAATTAAAGAGCAAGAGGTGTGTGTGTGACTTTGCAAAGTACAGTAAATTTCATGAGATGCATTTTTTAATTTTCTACTTTGTTGTATTAGAGAATGGCTTTTTCTCCCCCAGAAGATGACTAGATATCATGATTCAGATACCTTGAGTGTTCAGCTATATGTATGTGTGTGTGTATACCAGTATACATACGTATATATATTTATGTAGCAAGCTAATTTTATTCTTACTTGATAATTATTAATAATCTCTTATTTATTAGTAATACATTTCTTCAGTTTTTCTTTTTACCTTTAGTATGCTTACTATGAGAATTGACATTTCAGGTATGCAAATTGCAGGAACAATTAGAAGCTACAGTTCAAAAACTAGAAGAAAGCAAACAGCTTCTAAAAAATAATGAAAAATGTAAGTATTTTACCTTTTTGTGTTACTGAGGTTTGTAGTTTTATTATTTACTTTTCCTTATTTCTTTTAAATTGAAATACAGTGATATATAATATTTTGTTGGTTACAGGTGTACAACATAATGATTTGACAATTATATACAGTACTAAAGCTCACAGTTAAATGTAGTAACCATCTGTCAACATACAAAGAAATTACAATATTATTGGCTATATATCCTGTGCTGTACTTTAATCCCTGTGACTAATTTATTTTATAATTTGAGGTTTGTTCTTCATTATCCCCTTTACCTATTTCAACCCCACACACCCATGGGAACCACCAGTCTGTTCTCTGTATTTATGAGTCTGTTTGTTGGTTTGTGTTTTACATTCCACATATAAGTGAAATCATACAGTGTTTGTTTTTCTCTGTCTGACTTCATTCAGCATAATATCCTCTGGGTTCATCCATGTTGCACATGCCAATATTTCCTTCTTTTGGGGCTGAGTAGTATTCCATTCTATATATGTACCACTTTTTTGCGGGAACTTTTTGTCTATTCATCTACTATTGGACACTTAGGTTGATTCCATATCTTGGCTATCGTAACTAACACAGCAGTAAACATAGAGTTATATGTCTCTTTGAATTAGTGATTTTGTTTTCTTTGGGTGAATTCTGAGAGGTGGAATTACTGGGTTATATGGTGGGTATAGTTTTAATTTTCAGAAACCTACATACGGCTTTGCTACATCAGTTTACATTTCCACCAGTAATGTAAGAGGAGGGTTCCCTTTTCTCCACATTCTTGCCAGCATTTGTAATTTCTTGCCTTTTGGATAGTGGCCATTCTAACTAGGGTGAGGTTATATCTCACTATGGTTTTGATTTGCATTTCCCTGATGATTAGTGAATTTGAGCATCTTTTCGTGTACCTGTTGGCCATCTGTATGTCTTCTTTGGAAAAATATCTATTCAGGTCCTCTGCCCATTTTTAAATCAGATTATTTGTATTTTTGGTGTTGAGTCATATGAGTTCTTTATATATTTTGGATGTTAACCCCCTATCAGATATATCATTTATGAATATATTCCCATACTGTGGGTTGCCTTTTTGTTTTGTTGATGGCTTCTTTTGCTGTGTAGAAGCTTTTTAGTTTGATGTAGTTCCACTTCTGCTTTTAACTCATTTTTGCCTGTGAAGCTCTTTATCTCTTTTTCAATTCTGAATGATAACCTTGCCAGGTAGAGTAGTATTCTTTGTTGTAGGTCTTTTTCCTTTCAGTACTTTGAATATATCATGCCACTTACTTTGGCCTGTGGAGTTTCTGCTAAAATATCAGTTGATGACCTTATGGAGTTTCCCTTGTATGTAATTTGTTGCTTTTCTCTTGCTGCTTTTAAGATTCTCTCTTTATCTTTAATCTTCAACATTTTAATTTTTATGTGTCTTGTTGTGGACATTTTTGGGTTCATCTTGTTAGGGCTCTGTATGCTTCCTGGATCCTAGATGTCTGTATCCTTCCTAGTGCTAGAGAAGTTTTCAGCTATAACTTTCCCACCCCTTTAACTCTGTCTTCTCCTTCAACTCCTGTAATGCAAATTTTTTGACATTTTATGTTGTCCCAGTGTTCCCTTATCCTCATTTCTTTTTTTTTTTTTAATTTTTTATTAAGTTATGATTGATATATACTCTTATGAAGGTTTCACATGAAAAAACAATGTGGTTACTACATTTACCCATATTATCAAGTCCCCACCCATACCCCAATGCAGTCACTGTCCATCAGTGCAGCAAGATGCCACAGATTCACTATGTAAGCACAGTAAATTTTACTATTGATTATTCGGTAACAGAGGCAAAATGATGAGTACTTGGAATTATATAAGGTTTTATACCAAGCTATCTCTTTGTTGCTATATGAAGAGATGCCCATTGTCATTCTCCTTTATCTTTCTTTTTTTTAAAAATTTTTTTAATTTTTTATATTTTTTTGAAGAACATTATGTTTACTAGGTGCTTCCCTACCCCAAGTCCCCCCTCAAACCCCATTACAGTCACTGTCCATCAGCATAGTAAGATGTTGTAGAATCACTACTTGTCTTCTCTGTGTTGCAAAGCCCTCTCCTTTCCCCCACCCCCCACATTATA